ACTTTAATTTGATGCAGGGTGGGGGAAAAAATGCACAGAAATCAATTATTTTTCAAGAATAATTAAATAGATTCAACATCTTTCTTCAACAGAGAAAAAGATCCTGGTGTACAAAGTAAAATTAAATAAATTCTAACAACAGATTATCAAGCTGTTGTTAGATAACTTTCTCTGGGATAAAATGCCGGTTTGGTAGCGAGGCTCCAGACCGCTGACAGTCTTGCACGCCACAGCTGCTCTATCACGTGATGCATACTGCTCCGACGTGCTACGGTTATGAGCAGAGTTATGCTATGTCGCAAGTTTTGTGAGGTGCTTTTGTGATATTTAATGGATCTGATTACATTTTTTATTTCTCTCCGATATCCGGTCCAGTAATTTAGGTCAGTATCGGACCGATACCGATACGTAATTTCGGATCGGTTCATCTCTAGTTTTAACTGTTGTTCATCTATTACTTAATTTGGTGTAGTATGAATGGCAATAGGTGTGGTCACATTTTCCAAAGATGGGGGTCAAAGTGGGCCACATTGGAGTCTTTGCTGGGCCGATTCTGGCCCCAGGGCCTTATGTTTGACAACCCTGGTGTATACAAATGATGTATGATGATGTTGGTGAACTCTGGACTTCTGCTGTAACAGTACTGGGGGGTTTTCTCTCTTTCCGTTTTTTGGTGTGAAATGACTTAACCATCTAATGAATCTGACATCTTCTGAGGAACAATCAAGAGTCCAGCGCTTTGTGTTTGTGACCAAATACTTGGAGAAGTAATGATACTCCCATCAAACTCAGACTGATTTAATCCTGATACAGGGGCAAAAAAAAACACCACAAAAAGAACCGTCATCAACAAAACAACATTATACCTGCTAAACCTCAGGATGGCAGCTCTGTCACTGCAGCCATACACTGCAGAAAAATTTACATTTTTCTCAAAACAGCACAGTCAAAGTGAAGCCTCAAAGGTCAGTAAACAGTTTTACTTTACTGTACTGAGCAAGTTAGATTAGCTGGAAAATGATGAGTAGCTGGCTGATTTTCAAATGTACAGTAAACAACAAAATCTGTAAGTAAAATCTGTGCAAACTTACTTCAGTGTCAAATGTTTTAAAATGTTTCTGAGCCAAAACAAAGGAGTACTGCCATTTTATGAACAAGCACGATCCTTTAGAATGACTAAACTGACAAACAGACACCAAAATGGAAAGTCGAGGCAACAACAATGTGATTTAAAAAAAAAGAAAAGGGAAAGCTAAAAAAAGTAAAAAGCCTAAAAGATGACTCCAAGTCACATGAACATTTGGCACGATAATCTCCACCATGCTGCCAAAATGACAGATTTTAAAAAGAAGTAAAGCTTCTGAGCTGAACAGGAATATGTTCAAAAACATTGGGCATATTTTAAAGAGAAACACAGAGCCACACCTCCGATCACGCCAGGAGGAACTTAAAAAGGAAGAAAGAATCTAACGATTAGTCTTTAAATCTAAATTAAGACTAAATTACCTGCTTTCCAAAGTAGAAATGAGTTATGCAATTACTGCAAGGTGACGCAATTATGAATTTCTGTAAGTGGTATTCCTAAGGAAAGTACTTACTCCTGTTATCTTAGTGCATCTCAGATTAAGGTGTTAAACATGTAGATTTTTTTTAAAGGTAGAATACTTTCATATATAACCACTATATTAATGTGCATGGTACCTTTCTAAGTTTTCATTTTCCTTTAGTTTTTATACAGTAATTTTATGTTGTATCAGTCACTGCAAAAAACACTGCTTCTGTTTTCCAACCTCTCTGCGATCGCTATCAAGACACACCCACCAGGCAGCGAGGCATGGCCCAGATAAACGCTACACGGGTCCGTACAGATATGCAGAGCAGCAGTCAGCTGATAGCTACAGATGCTGCTACTCCACGGCGGGGTATTAAATTGCAGGCCGTTGTAATCTCTACCATATCATGACATGTTCACTAAGGCACGGAACAGGAGATCACAGGTCTTTAATATAATTAGTCTGGGATTTGTGTTTCATTACAAACATCATTAAAATCTGATCTATTCTTCATCAGGAAAAAAGGGAGAAAAGAGGTGTGTGAGAACTCCGGGCTTACTAATCTCCCTGCAATTGATTCTGCTTTGATGATCCGAGCAGCTCGACGGTTGATGAACTCATCACGGAATTCACTCCGACCACTGGGAAAGATCTCATTTGGTAAATGAGACTAATTACAACGGGGTGTGTCCTGTAATCCAATTCAGGGCTTTTAGAAGTTTTTGATCTGATGTGAAGAAATGTGTAATAATTCCAAAAAGCTTGAACTCAACCGTGTGTTCGGACAAAGTGGAGCGAAGGTAAAACGAGCAAAAAACAAATTCCCTTCAAAATGATGCGCCTGCTGTTCGAGCGCCACTTCCAACCCTGTGAAAGCAAACAGAAGCAACCTTGAGGTGGCGTGTGAAGAGAGGGAGCAAGAGAAAGACAGAGAGCCCTGTATAGCTCAGAGAGAGAGAGCTTAGCTTCGCGCACTCTGAATGCAGCATGTGTTTCAACTTAACATTCCACTTTGCCCTTGCTCTTTCTAAGTTGCTGTTTATGAACCATTTTCCAGCATGTCGATCTCTGCCTGCCAACACCGGAGGACCTGCCGCCTACGGTTCCACACACAAGCGCGCTCACGTATCCGAGTGTCACACTGCAGCAGACCGCTGAATGCGAGGAGAGCGAGAAAAGGCAAAGGAAAAATCAAGAACTATTAGTCAGAAGAAGTGGTTTAAATAAAAAAAAAAAAAAACAGAAATAGTTACCTCGCTGACGAAGATAAAACTCCACGAGTGCAAAGTAGGGGGCAAGAAACCCAAAAAAAACATAGCAACAGACCTGTGCTTTAGTTTCAAAATAGGGGTGATCTTCTACATGATCCCACCCAGGAAGGCAGAAGGTGAGGTGGACCTAAAGAGGCCAAGTGGGGTGTGGGGGGAGCTAAGTCAGTTAAGCGCTCTGCTCTGCTGTGGAGCTGCACCTCCTGAGGCTGGTTGGCAGCAGTTTGGGTGTTCTAAAGCTGAAAGAACTAAAAGCCCTCACAAGGCAGGATTTGGTAGATGGAGGCAGGATTTTATTTTTTTCCTCCCCTACAGGAGGAGGGCGAGAGGTGGGGGAAGAAGCTTGCAAGGGGGGCAACCACTGAAAATCATTCCCAGAACTGTTTGGAGAGGCACACAGTCGGGCACAGGAAGCCAGGCCCAGAGTGCCTCTCCCCCTCCAGCAGCGCGCAGTCCTGGCAGAACATTCATTTATTACACCAACAGGTTGTATTGATGCAGGAGTTTATACCACCCTGCACAAACACCCATGTACACACGGCACATTTTCAGATGCAATTTCCTGAAATGCTTTATTAGAACTCTACGAATCTACACAGAAAACAAGCCACATCCTACATCAGTGACAACTACACGTGTAAGGATGTCGATACAAAGCTGTATGAGGCATTTCAAACTCAACACAGTCGTTAAGCATAAGGCAACTGAGTACAGCTGCATTTTAATCAGGGCCGAGTCTGTGTTACTTGAATCAAAGCCGCTGAGTACTGAGACGTAAAGTGTTGTATTGATTACCATTTTGCTAACTATGTCAGCAATAAAGCCAATAAGAACTCATTTCAGGTGAAAAGAAAAGGCTTACTTTCTGAAAAAACAACGCAGCTCCATTGCATGCTGCACAATAACAAAAACGAGCAAAAATTAAACACCACTGCTGTTGTCTGTACAGTCAAACCAAGCTGGTTTAATTTTAATAATTCAGAGGCCTGGAACAAAGTCAGCAAACTGTCCTCTGTCCTGGTGACAGAGGAAATTTCCAATTGACATAGATAATTGTTCTAAAAGTAAAAAAAAAAAAAAAAAGTGCAGTAACCACTACAACACACAGCTAACACATAAATTACAACTCTATAAAGGTGTCTTTAACTTTTAAAGTGTCATGTTTGTATGTTGTTTTAGCATTGCGGATACTGCTTATCTCAGAGTTGTCTAAGGAGCTTGGAAAGAAAAGCCTCTGGACTTATTTAAGTGTCTTAAAGACATTTCACCTCTTATCCGAGAAGCTTCTTCAGTTCTAAGAGCAACAGGTGGAGAGCCCTGGATTTAAGCCCTATGGGAGTGTCCCCAACTGTATTGATCCGCTACGTCAGCGGTCCCCAACCCCCAGGCCGAGTCATTTAGCACTGGGCCACGAGAGTTTAGGCTCGGGTGTGAAATTTATGGTTTCTGGGGTTTTATCGTTAACTTGGTTAACTCATATTGCAGTTGTGTCTTATTTTGAAAGAAATATTCACACGTTACCATAGCGACCAAAAGAGCATTAAGGGGCAGAGAGGAGGATGTTACTTTCGATATTGTTGGTGCATTTCAGGAGGACGCTGCTAATAAAGTTACACAATTGCACAGCAAATTCACGTTTATTATTATATTTACAAAATACCAGTGAATTTGACTTAAAGCTACATTTGGTAAACTCGTCCCCTTTTTCATATATGTGACACAGAAACAAAGCAACCTTCTCTATCTGTCACGTTTAAGGTTTCCGGCCATCATTAATTCTACTTCCCACACTTTGTCATACACCAAGCTTCTCATTTTAACACTTTTAGATTCATATCTAACATTCTTTTCACTTTCATCAAACCAGTGAATGAATGCTGATTCTTAGATGTCACATGAATGACTTACTCTGTCTGGCAGAAGTAAATGTGCTCAGATAAGAGCACTCCATAAACTGACAATCGATCACGCTTCTTTGGCATTTGAGTCATCAATACATGTCAGTTTTTATGTAAATGTATTGCTCACAGTGGAGCTTTATCATAAATATAGAGTTACAAATCGAACAGAATTTTAGTATTGCATTAATCTGTAGTGAGCCTGTCTTTACCTGCCTGCTTTACAAATATGTATGGTAACAAAAACGGATCAGTTATCGTTAAGCGTACGAGTTGCTTACTTGGATCTTGATGGGCCACGTGAAGTTACTGACGTAGACGAAGAAAGTAATGTTGGGGCTGTTTCGGAAATCAAAGTTCTCATTGGAAAAGCTTTCTTTGAACTCTTTAATGTTGCTCCGAGAGACGATGGGGATCTCCTCTCCGGCCTGGGTGCCCGCTGGGTGACACAAACAAGGGACAGAGATGGAGGGAGAAAATAGGAATACAGAAAATAGAAATAACAGGATGATAAAGAAAAGAGGAGAAGAAAGGGGAAAGGGAAGACAGGACAAAAATGTCAAATCATACAAAAGTTATAGATGATGGAGGAAATTATTAAAAAAAAGAAAAAACAAAACAAGACAAAAAGAAAAGGAGAATTTCTCATTTCTGCTCCAGTGTCTGGTGGAATTTTATTGACACAACAAATGTGAAATATCTGCATTACTTCACATTTGTAAATCTCCTGGTGCAGAAACTACTACAATGGAAAGACAGGTGACTTTTCATATCATTTTTAAACAGCTGTGAACATGGTGACAAAAACCTTGTCATTAACTTGTTATTACATGAATATAAAACCAGTCATCTTCACTTTCTTTGTCTGAGAAAATCAGTAATATTTATCATTTTAAGCCTTAATTTAAACACTTGAGTGCATATTTCAATCACTGGCCAATCATTAGCTCATTGACTAATTCGTTGAGCAGCACTAATAAGGGGCTTTGTTGAGACTTACCGGTGAAGCTGGTGGCCCAGGTTACATTCAGATTGAAGTTCTTGGAGGCATTTATGAACATGTCTAGATCTCGGTTTGGCTGAGGACAGAAACACGAACAAGTCATCATCATCAGTTTACTGGTGTCATTTTCCCCACGTGCCCCATAGCGGTCGAACCGCAATTCAGTGAAGATGGGCGAGTCAGTTTTTTACTGCAACCACCAGAGTAAACGAAAAACAAACTGCTCGTAGCACACAGACCAGGAAAGCCCTTATGTTTTACTGTAACTGCAGAGCAGCGACTTTGTTCACTCCTCCGGTATCACTTTGTAGCTGCACAAGCAGTTACTGTATTGCAGACCAGAGCAAATTTGCAGAGCTAATGGGAGGCCGAATTAACAAATCAAATGTTTGAATAAGCACCGCAGCTGAACACTGTATGTATCACATTCACTGTAAGTGAAGCTCAAATAATGTCAAACAGATGTAAGCTGAGATGTAATTGATGTTTACTCACTAACTGAAAGCCGGCGTTCGTGAATCAATTATTTATTAAAGAAAAAAAGGCAACAATTAACATTTCAACAGCGTCAGCGAAGCCGGCTGAAGCTAGACGGCGAGAAATCCAGATGTCTTCACTATTTATTGTTACACATGTGCGTCACAGATGTTGTCATCGCTTCGTCTTGAATTTGAAATCTTCTGCTCGATTCTATATTTTGTAAACGATCTTTTGGTTTCTGATTTACTAAATAACTGCGGAACAACTCAAACAGCTAAAAATTCAACTTCACCACAAGTTTCCTGGATTTGATAAATATAAATTGAAATATGTTGTGATTTGCTGTAAGAGTTGAGCTTCCCCTGTAGCCGATTGTGCATTTGTAAATCTTTAGTAGAAGCTTTGTCAGGGGAAAAATACCATCTGGAACATTTAATCAGATGCTTATGTTTCAATTTTGGCCCCAGATGCTGCAGCCAGGTAAACACGACCAGACAAGCTTTTGTTTGCTGTAAAAACATCTGTGTGACTGACTCTCTGATGAGTGGCCACATTACTCTTCGCTCTGATCACCAGCTTATCAGCGAGGAAACTTTCCTGCAGGGAACATAGTAAACCAGTCGACTCAGTTTGTTGAGTGATTATTAAATACTGATTCTTATTTTATTTTGAAGTTAGTTTTGGCGTCACCGTGCTTCCTGCCTGTCCAGTACAATCGGTGTGCATGTAAACTACTGAACTACCATCTAAGTTATCCCTAAAATGACAAAGAAGTGAGCCTATTTGTTCGACAACAACTGTAAACTTTCTAATCCTCACAGAAGTGACAGCTGCTGTGGCGGTGGGGTGCTCACTGTTAGACACATACCTCCTCAGGTGTGGCCACAAAGTTGATGGCCGTGTAGTAGCGGTCGTCTTCCTGCGACAGGCTGAAGGTGAACTGGTAGTCGATGAGGAGCGTGTCTGTTTGAAGCCAGTGAGCCAGCGTGGGAGGAATGTGGTGGGGATTACAAAAAGAAGCAGAAGAACAACTCAATCAGTCTAGTTTGAAAGTCACACAAGAACACGGTTTCAGAAAATTACTCCCATTCTTTCCCCGTTTCAAACATTCGATTCGAGACCTGAAGATTTTGGAGCGTGCTCTGTGATGAAGGTCAGGACAGAGGACGGGTTACATGACAGCGTGTCAGCTAGCGGTAAATTACAGCCGAAGGTCACTTTCAGGACAGCGCAACAAAACACGGGAGACGGACGCATTCAGACGCCAGGGGTTATTCTGCAGTTACAGTTCCACTCAAATAATCTGGATAAAAGCGATTTAGATGGGGCCAAATCTCGAAAATAAGTAAACATAAAACAATCCCCTCTCAAATAATTTCCAAAGTCAAACAAAAAGTTCAACTTCAGTCAAAAATCAATTTAAACAGCTGGATCACGTACTTGGAAAAATTGGAGGGTTTTATTTGTTAGTTTGTTTCCTCTCCATACAGCAAGGGTAACACTGATCAAAAGCTTTATAGATATTTGAATAATAGTACATGGTGCTGTCAATAAAAAGCACTAATGTAATTAACGTCTAATGTACAGAAAACATTCCCAACTGCTTCAACTTCACATTAAAAGGAATGTAACCGGCAGACATGAGTTTATTTTTATTATTAGGTAGTAACAGGAAATGCAGCTTGTGTCAGGAACCGAGCGCTTGCCACTACTGTTCCCCACGAACGCACATACAAAACAACAGTCCCTGCTGGCATTTTTTTGACAGCAGGTCATTTTGAAATATTACAGGGAGTAATGGGACAAGAAGGAGCAGCCACAGTGAGCTGGCAGTCACTGGCAGCACGCCTCTAAGCTCCCAGCAAGGTAACCGAACGAACACAGTGGGGACGTAGACTCATATTGTGCGAAGCAGAAAATCAGATCACCGTGGCTCACGGGTTGATTGAAAATTCCCAATTACAAATTACTGCCCGACTTCTTTATTAAAGTTGCAGTGTGTTTGGATGACGGCGTTTGCTACAACCACAAATAGCAACAGCTGCTACCAAAAATAAGCTGTGTCTGAACACTAGCTGTTAAATTCCATTATAGATTAATAATCTGATGAGGAATGAATTTACAGTTGATTGATTTTTAACAAACTATCCAATTAATTCAGGGTAAATATGGATAACACTTAATGTTCCTGCTCATTTATGCCTTAGAAACATTTTCACACCTTAGCAGAATACAGGGTAATAAAACAAATACTTTTTTTTTTTTAAAGCAGCACAATGGATGACCTAGTTCCTCCATCAGTGTGAAAATTTAACACTATACAGTCCAACATGATTTATAGCTTGTTTGGGTTAGAAAGTACTGATGATTAGACAAACGTGACATCACTTTGGCCTCCATAATCATCAGATAATGAGATTAAAAATGGCAGGACCACTGTCCTGCAATCTGTCTGCAAAATGACTTATCACAGGTGGAAAAAGAGCAAGACGGTCCTTTATAAGCTTACCTGCATTTTTTTGGCAATTTCATCTGCGTCTCACTTTCAATTCTTTCCACCTGCGACTTGTTTAACCCTTTAAGACCTACCATAGAACCAAGTCCGCCAGAGCTTATATTATATTTTTACATGCTGTAGAGCCATTTTTTGGAGCATTTCAAGTTGCTATACATCAATACAACCATTACAGCCTAAATTTTAATAATATGCATGCATTAAGTGCATAGTAATTACATAAATTGCAAAAAAGTGCAATAAACTACAAAAAAAATTGAAAATCGTTTTTGTTTTTTAACATGTATTTCTAGTTAGAGAAATTTAAGAGGCTCAAAACTGTAAATACAAAAAAGTTGCACAAATTAGTTTCCCACCACAGGAAATTTATTTTGAGTGTCTTCATAGTTTTATTTTTGAAATACACCAATTTCTATACACTGCAGGAAAAACGAAAATAAATATTATAGTGCAAATTTGCAAAAAAGCAGCATATGCATCAAAATAAACTATTTCCAGCAGTGCAATTTGAGTCCTAAGCATCCCAGGAACGACACAGAAAGTCATAAAGTCAAAGATAACTTTTAAAAACATCAGTATAAGCTCATGAGGCCTTGATGGAAAAAAACTACATTTCTGCGAAAATGACGTCACTTCCGGTTTCGGGCAGGTCACGGCGGACATGCGATAGTTCACGCTGATGGACATAGGAAGTGTTATGAACAGCCGATCGGATCGGCAAAGCGAGTTTCTGGAATATTATGTTTTTGTTCCTGCAAGCGCTTTTTATGCAGTTTTTGCAAACCTATATGTGGAAGGAAACCGTGACCGAGGACAAGCTGATGGCATCAGATGTAAGTACAACTCCTCCGGTTTCATATGCAAAAAAAATTATTGCACTAGCTCACGTGGTTGCAGTGCTACCAGGATTTAAAAATAGTTACGCAAAACGGAGCGTGCCCGCTCCGACCGGCTTTAAAGGGTTAAAAGAGCAGCTCTGGCTCTGGATGTTATTTTTTAAACATCAAACTGCTTTGATTTAGGAGCCGTGTTGCTGTCTTGCCACTGACATGAACAAGGAAGAGATTCAGACCTCATAGTGCTCTCTTAATGTGACACCGCACACGCACGCACACACAAACCCCTTTACTGACGTTAGTCATTGTAATTCCACTTACAATAGCATGTTCCTTTGAGGGGGTTGCCTTGGTAGCGGTTCTCGACTTCACACCTGAAGAGAGGCAAGGGAAAGATGAACAGGGATGGTAGAAAAGTCAGAAAGAAAGGAAAGCGGGAAGAGAAGTGTTAACCTTCAGTCAGGAAGTAACACCACAGTGTAAAAGAATAAAAAAAATAAAAAAAAAGATTAAAAGGAGACCGAGTGAGCGTGATGGGAATTCACAGGAAACGTGTGCCTACGAAATCTTTAAAGAAATTTAATAAGGCGAAAAAAAGGCCTCATTTTCATACTGATGACCAATCATTTGTGAAACCTTATCTCAACTTTTTAAATGGATTTTGGAAAACCTTCTGATAATGAAGTCCAGGGTTAAGACAAGTACTAAAAATATAGCTGCAAGCGCTAATGAACAGCTGCTGCTGCGCTGTGCCATGGTTAGAGTTTCTCATTTTGAAATCTCAACATGTGGCTTTACAGGTCTGGAAAATAACATTTCAGGGGAGGAAAAAACCCACTGAAGTTCATGTGGTTCAGCAATTTTGCACATAAAGGTTGTCGATTACTGGAAACCCATTTCTCAATCTGCTGGTGGTTTGACAGGCTCGTTCTTAGGTTAGCTCAACAACTGACAAATACATGTATGCTGTTAATTTTTGGAGAAGTTGACTAAATCATTAAAAGGAATTCACATTTTTACTCGTCACTGAATGTTGTTTTCACGGTACACAGATTGCAGAAGCCTTGATGCCTGTGATTGACCAGTTACCAGCTTTGATCCCCAAAGTGCTCAACTACAAGCCCGTACTATCACAAAGGACCATCTTCAAGAAAAAAATCCTAGAAAAAGTTAAAAAAGGCTATTTGAGGGTTTTCTATAGACCGGTACCACTACTGTGGTAGACAAACTAGAAAATAAAGCCTACGGTACCCCACAAGCAATCTGAATTCTAGGGGTGCAAAATATTACAGTAAAGACTTCAGACATCGCATGAGTGAAAAAGAGGACAGAGAGACAGGCGAGCATCATGAAATGTGAAACTCACAGGTGGCATCTGTCTCCTTTGATGCCCTTGGTGGTACAGAAGCACTTGCCATTGTTAGGGTTGCACATGCTTGCGTGGCCATTGCACTTGCAGGCTGAAAAAAAAAAAATAGATAAATAAATTATTTTACTTATCATTGCAGCAACCACACACAAGACTTGCACAGTAGAGTGAATATATTACACATATATAAACAATCTAATGACTGATTAACTTGATTCAGCACATTCATAACCTACAAGACCTACAGACTCCATTAATGGCCTCTTCCTGTATTAAACCATTTTGCCCTGCGTGATAATAGTGAAGCTCTGTTTCTTCTCTTGTCACTTCCAGCTTGGTGGTCAGGATGAGGATTCAAAGTCCGACGCTAATATTTCATTGGAGCGCCTCTGCTGCATTAAGTCTTCTCATGTACATCCCAAAGATTCTCAGTGGGGTTAAAGTCTGCGCTCTGTGCTGGCTAATCCATGTGTGACAATGTCTCATGCTCTCTGAACCAAACAATGTGAGGATGATGAATTCTGACATTGTCATCTTGGAATATGTCCGTGATATCTTGGATGAAAAAAAAAAAAAGAATCCATCGTGCAGTATATCCAGGTGGTCCAGCTGACCCTGCATAATAACACCGTCCCCACAGGCTGTGAGCATGAGGCATGAGGGGTGCTTCACCTCATCGGCTTCACTTCTTACCCTGATGTACAAACCACTATGGAAAAGGTCAATTTAATTCAATTCAATTTATATATTGCTAAATCACAACAGTCACCTCAAGGAGCTTTATATTGCAAGGCAAAGACACTACAATAATACAAATGACTGCATGATCTTTTCCATTGCTCTAGTGTCCAGTCTTCAAGCTTACTGGCAAACTGAACCAGATTAATATCACAGAGAAGTGGTTTTCTTAAGGCTACACACCTTTGAGTTCTCATAATATTGCGCAAGTGAAAAAGCTCTTATTTTATCTATTAAACACAGTTATGAGTTCTACAGTTGATTTTTTTACAATATGACTGAATGTTTAACATATCTCTGATAACAATCATTCCAGATGAATCATTACTGTCAGTGCATATAAAAATATTCTGCACAAACAGCATCCAGCACATTATTTACTTCATTTAAACTCGGGTTGTCAAACATGCGTCCCACGAGCCAGAACAGGCCCTTTACAGGTCAAACCTGGACAAATGGATGGGAATCAGCAAAGATTTAGGATATAGTTTTTACCTTTAGACTGTTTTTGCACCAGGAAGTATAGATTTTGCTTTATGTGTTGTTGCCCAAACAGTACTTGCATTAGAGCCAGAGGCCAGAATTACTGTCAGTTTTTTGAATTTATTTATGTGACCCTTGGTCTGCCATACACCAAAGTAAGGTGGTGAAGCCATACATGAACATACATGTATGTGCAACTCTAACATCTGTGCTTTAAAAAATAAAGCATTGCACAGCACCACCTCTCAGCTTCCCCATGCTGTTTAAAGCTCATACTGAGAGCCATGACCATGGTGAACACGTGTCAAATGTCTATTAGGCTTGGTGATTTTTAAAAGACCCATTTTAAGGTGCCTGCACAAACGTTAATGCGCATCATCCTTTATATTAATTCATCCTCATTTATCATTCTTAAAATGACTCACCCCTTTGGTAGAAACAGCTGTGAAATACATACAAGTCTGCTAACAGTGGGGGACTTGGAAGAAAAGAGCCACCTTATGATTTATCATCATTTAGTCACACGTGTCATCTTGATTATTTGATAATAATCTCCATTTTGAGGCACTGACTGTGTACTTTTTACTTGTCCACATAATGCCTCTTGAGTCAAACCAATTAGCTGTGAAGTAAAGCATGCCTTTAATGTCCCCGAGGGGGCACGCTGACAAGATAGCGATGCTGAATGGAGACAGGACAGGTTATTGATTGACTGTCACAGACGCAGAACTTAATAAATATATGTACATACCAGAGGGAGGCATAAAAAGTAAAAATCACACAACATACACTGTCGCTGTAATATACCGGTAATCTAAATTAACCTGTCGAAGGAATAGACAATTGATTTGTTGTCCGACTAACTGACTGTCAGCATTAGCTGTAAAGGAGTAAATCTTTAATATCCCTGGGAAGCCTTTACGGTGCAGCGAGGAATCAGGAAAACAGCTGACATAAAAATGGACTGTAAAATACTGACAAGTTAAATGAAGCCCCGACTGGCTGATTTAGCGTCGCGCCGAACGGCCCACCGATACTCACGCTGGCAGCTGCCCCCGTTGGTCGGATCTCCGTAGAAGCCGGAGATGCAGCTCTCGCAGTGTCGGCCGGTTGTCAGGTCCTCGCACTTCTCACAGATGCTTTCGTTGACACACTGGCTGTGACCATTACACTGACAAGCTGCAAAAGAGTAAACAAACATACTGCATAAACATCACACCCTGAGACGAGAGGGGGGTACGATAAAGACAGAACATGAAGGAATGAGTAGATTATTCTGAGCAGAGAAATTTATGTTAAAAAAAAACAAACAAAAAAAAAACGCTGTTTGTTGTCCAGTGCTCGAGTGTGTCATAAGAGGCATCAGAGCAGCCAGAAGTCTCTTTAAAGCAGCATTTCAATCATTTTAGATGAGAAGATCACTATAGTTATTAAGCTAAGTGAGTAATTCCTTCAAATGCAAGTCCGCCAGTCTGTACCACATAATGAGGAACAATTATAAACTAAAGTGACAATACAGAAACACATTTTCCCAAAATGCAACATAAACACATACTTTCTTTGGATGCCTATTGTCTGATAAACTCACATTTAGGTTTTTGTTACAACGCAGATTTAACAGACAACCATTTTTGTAATCCCCACAACATGTGTGTGTGAAATTAATTTGCATGAATGTCATTTAATGTCACATAACTAATATCTTAGATTACGTTCCTACCTGGGCAGTGAATGAAAGACCAGTTGTACTTTGATTCGCTCGGGCACATGCTGGCGTTGAGGGCTGGCTGAGGATTGGCGGGCAGACCAGGAAGGGTGGAAGGGGCCGGGACAGAGGTCTGGAAGGGCCCGCGGTAGGAACCCTCGATGCACTGACCTTTGCCCGTGTTACTGGGGTCAGTGCACCAACCGCAGCCCGGCTGATCCAGACACTGCCCGCACGTTCTGTATCCAGAACAGTTCTCCGCTGAAGTGAAACACAACGCAGCACCAGGTGATTAAAAAGGTATTTATATTTCTGAATTCTTTGACTGTAAAAAATAAAAACGGCTTTTAAAAATGATTCTGTGTTGGAAGGTACAAACAAAACCATCAGTATTTCAACAATCAGAGCTCTGAATTCTCGACATACTCAGAAAATTGTGCTTATATGAGAATAAAACACTAGTCAGTAGAAGCAAGCAATAGCGTGATCATTTTTGAGTTAGCTTAAAATAAAGCTAAAGACACTGGAACTGGAGGGAAATGGCTATAATATAATCTCCTCACACATTACAGGTTACATCATGTTAGCTCTCGACCTTTAGCAGGGTCGTGCCAGCTGGTTTCACTGGATTTCACTCTTTAAATCAAAGCTAGCCTCTTTGCTTTTAGCTTCAAAGTGGACAGCTGGATTGATCTTCACATCTATAGCCCGGCAAGAATGTGGTTGTCAAAAAATGTCAAACAGTTTCTTCAGAAAAACTGAATGTGTGTTCTATTCAAAAAAAAAAAAAAAATCTGGCTTAATTTCCACTTCATTTGGAAAGGAAGAGAGTTTCAAAAGCTATCTATAAGCTGGATAACCATTTAACATGTAATCATCATCAGTCAACATGGCACAATTTCCACATAAAGACAATTCAAGACCCATGAATGTGTGCCTTTAATTTCCATCTCTCGCCCCATGAGCAGTTCATCCATCGATGGCTATAATAAGTTGATTCACCTGCTAGGTTTCATAAAAGAAAATTGTTCTCTGCTGCAAAGACGAAATCCAAAAAGTACCAGGTTTCAAACTATCAAACCAGATTATCGATCCCCATCGCCATTCAGTGGAGGGCTACAATTTTATTTGTTCGGCTAAATGGAGGTTAACCCCCCATTTAGCAGTCCAAAGTTGCTCTACTCTACAGACCAATAATCAACAAGCCTTTTTTGTAAATTTGGTGAAGATCTCCAGAGCAGCATATGCTTGAATGATTGAGTATATTAACTGCAGCTACAGTACTACATACACAGATTTCAGATTTATGCTTTATTTTTCGCCGGGTTTTCCTCGTTTCTTAAATTGCAACTAATGAATCCTGACTGAAGGGCTGGTAGTTATACATGTAGCTGCTTGCAGCTTCAGAGCTTTAAATGAAATGCTGCAACGGTTTCAAGTGTCGGGCTCTTCTTCTAGAGTGTTTCGCTATGGCAGCAGCTGCAATTTGTTCAAAGTAGGAGAATGACTGGGCAGCCGGCATGAGCTGGCAACTCTTAAAAGTAAACATTTTACGTGCAATCAATGGGATTTTAAATGAGAGACGCAGAGATCGAGCATCAGCACCGCTGATCGGACTCCAAAAAAGAATCCAAAACATTTAGCAGCAGCAAAGACGACGGTAAGGGTGCCCAATTTTACTGCTCCCTACATTTAGAGTCACTCTCCCCCAGCAGTGATAAATAAGGAAATAAGCAAAGTCTTTAAAATGTTACACTCTCTTCTTCTAACTCATCTACGCATTGAACCATTTCTTTTGTCTTAAGATTATTTGTTTGCCACTTTATGATTTTATGACTGATTAAAAAATAATAATAAATCTGTCAAATCAGACAGGAAATATGGGAAACACCAGGCAATTTGCACCCATATGGCACGCTCAATAACCACCCGAAAATTTCACTAATTTTTTTGTTCCCCATGTTCACCAACATGCTGTGCTCTGACTAAAACATAAATTAGTCATTAAGTGGAGCAATTAAATGAAACTCTTTTACTCCCCCTTGAAATTCCATTCATTACATATTTCATTCTAAGAAATAACTCTGTTAAATAAAGTATTACTAAAAGGAGATTAAGAATTTAAACTGTGAAGGGCTACATTAAACGGCTAAAGGTTTTAAAACTTGGTTTTAGCCTCAATCCCACTTTAATGTGGTTAGTTGGTTTCTCATCTTGATTGTTTGGTCATGAAATGACCCTCAGGCCAAAACTGCTTGCCAGAAGTCCTTGGACAAAAAAGGGAGGAACAGTGAAACTATTGAGGAGCTATACTTTTATAACATGTAGGCAGATGAAATGAAATCGAATTGCAATAACGGGAAAATGATCTCTTACGTGGACAAGTGTTCATGGTGTACCACTCCATACACTGGCCAAAGGGGAAGGAGGCTACATAGGCGTTGGAGTCGACGCACTGCTTCATGTTGCTGCACCACATGCACTCTGAGCTGCTGCTGCTGGTGCATTCGCTGCAGGTGGTTCTCATGGCGCAGGGTGTCCGGCACTGCTTGGCACTGTGGTTGGCTGTAAAATGCAACAAACTCTTTTAGCACAGATGCCTCTGTGGGACATCAGCCTCTGCTGAACTCCAGGGCATTATAAAGCAGCAGCTATAAGTCTCTTAAGCTCATTTTAAAGGGTGAGAAATGAACACAAGTGAATTTTAAAAGGTGTCATTGTTACAGCAAGAGGTATAATGAGCCTCATAGCTATTCACAAATCCATTTAGGCCTCCATCTGCCTTTTGTGTACCCAGTATCAGCCTAATGACAGCCTCATCAGGCAGACATGAGGCATCTGCAACAAAAATGAGCATCAGGCATGACAATCTACTTGTGCAGCCTCAACAAGAACGGACAGAAAGGTTACAGAGGAAAAAACCCTTTCTCTTCAGCCAATTCTTAGACATGACATTACTCATGCATGCAACTTCTTTTTTCTGTTATGTAAAAATACATGTGCATTAAAAGACTTTAAAATATAAACATAGTGAGCTCACCTGGTCGTTCGCACAGGCTGCCATTCACCGGGCTTATGCAGGTTTGAGCTTTCAGTCCGGTGGCTGCCGGCTCGGCCAGGTAGCCGCAAAACCCGGCGTCGCTTGGCTCACCCGGCAGCCATTGCAGGGTGGTGTTGGTGAACGGCGACATGTCCTCCCAGCACCAGTAGGACACGTTGATTTTCCTGAGCCCTACCCACGGCGTCACAGTGGCCTTGTACTGTAAACACCAAAGCAAAGGAGGATTTCACACGATGGCTCTTTGCTCTGATCGAATTTAGTAACAAATTGCTGCCAGATATTTCTGGAAAACATCTCAAACTTAAGCGTCAGTTACACTTATGCTGAAGATTAAATCAGTTTACCTAAATCAATTCCAAAACACATGTTTTTACTACAACACAAAGAGAAAATGTCAGTGCAGCTTTTCATTCATTCTGACGTGCAACACACTGCACCAGGCGCAGTGGCAATAAAGGCAGATTTACCTCAGTTGACTTGAGAAGCTCCGTTATCCAACTCATCTCTAATCAATGGTTTTAATATTGCAATAGTAGCAAACAAAAAGACTTTTCTCTCTCTCGCAGGCATGAGAGGGATAACTGTACCTTTGAGATCGAATACAATCGCCATTTCTCGGATTGATTAAACCTGCCTGGAAACCGTTGGAACTACTGAACTGGATGTACACCATCAATACAACAAGGGAGCCTGTTCTCAAATCTCTGCGCCCGTATCATTGAAAACCAATGTTATTCCAGAGCGGTTAAGCTTCCATTATTCTCTACCCTTAAGCACAAAGATTACCGAAAAGCAACCACCAGAACAAATTTAGACCAGCAGGGGAAATCTACACGATTTCATTAGAATGGATGAAAGACACTTCTTTAATTCCAGCCTGACTTTGTGATTTAGACCCCTTTTGTCTTATTTAGCTTCAGCATTAGATTTGCCGTGTGGTGGCTGCAAGGCACTTTGCAGGATCGCTTTTTTTGCATGGGTGGCCTAAGTTAAAGGAGGCAGTATTTGCATTTGGTATGTAATTAGAAACTACAAAGAGCTATATAACTTTCTTTTCTTTTCTCTTTTCTTTTTTGTAGGGACTTTCCTGATATTACAAAATACTTTTTGTATTATCTACACATCTTCTTCTCGTCTATTTATGAATGAACTGATTGATTTCTTAATGGTTTAATGTGCAAAATGTAATAAAATCATTTCATGTCAAACATTTTAAAATAAGGGGGAAAAAAAAATCAGATAATTCTACTATTAGAGAAGATAAAACTTCTGTTAAATCTTCTGCTTAACTTGGTAAGATGTTTGGTAAGATGCACAAATTTTTACAAACCTAAGGAAGTTTAACCCCAACCAACTTAAAAACTGAATTCAGACTTTACAACCCGATACCCAACAGTGCGTCCAGTCCATCCTCCGTCCATATCTGCGGACACGTGAACAGAATAAAGACGGCAGCTTGCGATGGTTGATTGATCGCAGGGATAGATTTTTGTGCATGTGCTCTAATGGAGCGAGTAAGAGATGTCTAAGCTCTGAGGAAGAGATCTGTTAATGGGAGATTTGTTTCACGCTTAATGGTTCAAAAATCTCTCTCTCACACACACACACACGCACACGCACACGCGCACGCGCACACGCACACGCACACGCACACGCACAGAATCCAACCAGAGCTCATTCAGATTAAGAAGGAAAAGAGAAGATTTCAAAAGCTACTGAAAAGACAGCCAAGGGCAAAAACTAGAGAAAGGGCACAAGAGTCCATTTATGCTCATCAATCAGAGAAAAACATGAGAAATAAAAATCTTTTTTACAGTGGACTTCAGATGTGCTGGTCTTTTGAACCCGTGTGTAACTTATTGATTTAGTCTTCTAATGTGTCCACATCCGCTTACTTCAACAAGACTGTATATCAAGGAAGGCTCTTTGTAGACGACATCATTAGTTGTCTAAGTAGTGTATCATTCTTCAGTCTTTGCCTGATTTGATCTTTTTGCTGTAATTATCCATTTTTATCTCCGGCACTCTCAGCGCATCTCAAGTCTTACCGGTATCTTTCTCTCTGCTAGTCTGATGACCCAATTTCCCCAAGGAGAATATCACATTTTCTCTAATCCGATAATTAATATCCTGGCTACTTCCCCCTCCAATCGCCCCCTTCTCCTTACCACCACGCTCATTATCTGCAGCTCCTTCAGGACAAAGTCCACCTTCTTTTGTGTGGTCAGAGAGGCCAGGACGGCGTTGTGGTTCCTGCAGGTCAGCTTGGCGTTATCGTACGAGTCCTTGGTCGTGATGAATTTCAGACAAGAGTTGCCCACCAGGTGCCAGCTTTCACCACACACGTTCTCTGCAGGGGAGAGAGTAGACATCAATACTTCTGATATGCAATATGCAAGCTGACTGTATATCCACTGGAAAAACTGGCCACCTTCAGTTTATGTATGTCAGAAGCAGTACAGGTGTTATAATAAAATACAGAACTTTTTAAAAAGCAGTTGTCTCCGTCTTGTAGACATGCAAAGTTTCAAACACGTCCATCAATGCCTCATCAGGTAACTTGTAAACTAAAACCAAGAATATTTCTGCTGTGTTTTTAATTCTATTCTTTGTTCGTTTTCCAAGTTCACAACTGATTTTGTAAAATTTGTAATTTTTCTTCACAAATCTATTTTTTTATTTTAGTTAAAAATGTTTTAATTTCCAGTTTAGTTTCAGTTGGCTGTAATATTTTCAGTCTATACTTCTGTCATTCACCAAAACAGAGCTTTCATCACTGTGTAGCATGTGGCTAATTATTTTTAATAGATTTCAGAGGGGGCAGCACGGTGGCTCGGTGGTTAGCACTGTTGCCTCTCAGAAAGAAGTTCAATTCCAACATCAGGCCAGGGTCTTTCTGTTAGTGGGGATTCATAGGTAACTCTAAATTGAATGGTTGTCTGTCTCTGTGTGTCAGCCCTGTGACAGACTGGCAACCTGTTCAGGGTGTACCCTGGCTCTCGCCCTAAAACAGCTGGGATAGGCTCCAGCGAAGAGAATGGATGGATGGAGATTTCAGAAGTAATTACGTAAATCTATTTAGTTTCTCGCAAAAAAAATAAATTAAAAAAAAAAAAATTGTAGAGAAACATGCGTAGGAGTGACTTTCCTTCTCACAGACTTTATCTGATAAATGAACAGTTAACTTGGGTTTGATAACTAGAGAGATAAAATTGGTGAATATCGGTTCAGCACTTCCTGCTTATCTGTGCTGTATATCAATATTTGACTATTTAACTTCTGTTATCAGTTTTGCACCTCTAGGTTTCAGAAACTAAGTATGATTCGTGTGTGTGTGTGTGTGTGTGTGTGTGTGTGTGTGTGTGTGTGTGTGTGTGTGTGTGTGTGTGTGTGTGTGTGTGTGTTGTCGTAATCTTTTCAAATTAAAACTGCTTTATTTCTTCCAAGCATCCCTGTTACCTGGCAGCGAGATGCACTCTTGGTTGCGAGAATCCCACTGACAGTTTTGGTCCACAGCACAGCTCTTGCAGCTTGTTTTCTTGTTGCACACGTACGACGGGTTGTCCTTGGGGCAAACTTCATACTCGGCTATGGCCCCCTGAGAAAAGAAACCCGAAAACAACAGACATCAACACTTTGGACTCTAAACTGCAAAACAATTACATTTCATGATGCGTAAATGATATTCATTCAGATGAAACAAAAACAACAAAACAAAAAAAAAAGGAAACATTTTTTATTAGTTACACAGAATAAAGGGGAACAGATATATGAGGACCAGACAGATCTTTTCAAATTCGTTCAAAAAGATTTAAACTTCGGATGCGCTGGGAAAAAAAAAAAAAAAAAAAAAATCAAAGTCTTCTTTTTCCTACAACACAGCTATTTGAATTTAAATATTCGATTATTAAATAACTGAAGTCAGAGATATTGAGACTCATTTCTCACATATTGTGCAGATAAGCGTGCTGAAAGAGACATTTGAACTGTGCGAGTCTGCCGGCGGCTAACAGAGGAGTAATCTGATCATAGATTGACAAACCAGATCCAGCAAACATGAAAATGTTTCATTAGTTGTCACACAAAGCACTGAATTCTGCTCAAGTCTATCCCTTTAGTAGACATGGCTGATTATTTTAGTAATAGTATATTTGCTTGCACAGAAAGCCCGAGTCCTTTTTTTCTTATTAAACAAGAATTTTATCTTAGAAACGTTTCTTCTTTCTTCCCCCCACATTACTTACATAAAACAATCCACTTACATGTTATACAAACCTTTAAATTAGCCTACATCTTACTGCTCGGGTCGCTAATGAAACACATTATATTATGTTATAAATATGGACTCACGACAAACTGTAAAAACCATTACTCGACATACCTGCTTCAATAAAAAGGAAGAAAATATTAGTGTTGACCTTCTTATTATGAATAAATACATTGTGGTAACCATACAATGAAAGAACGGATGAAAGGTTTTTACTTGTAGAAGCTGAGATACCACCGCAGCACAGATCAGCATCACTATTTGATGAAAACACATTTTTGGGCTCCGATAGTGCTGGGTTGAACTAAGTGCCTTAATTCCATATTGACAGTGACAGCATCACACAGCTGCTGTGAACCTCTTGTTCCACCTCACTCCAAAGATGTTCCATTGGACTGAGATTTGATGACTGCGGAGGCCGCTTGAGTACACTGGATTGAGATCATTTCAGGTTTGTGACATGGTGTGATACCCTGCTGGAAGCAGCCATCAGATGATGAGAACACTGTAGTCATAAAAGGACCACATCGTGTGCACATGATTATAATCAGAAACCATACTCTGGTAAGGCTTTGGCATCCACACAATATTCACTTGCTATGAATAAACCTAAAGCGTGCCAAGAAAATATCAACAACACCATTACGCCACACCACCGTGGTTTTAACGACTGGTTATTTGAGTTACCGTTGCGGTCCTATCAGATCGAAGCAGTGTGGCCTCTGTTCTCTGACCTCAGGCATCAACAAGGTATTTTTGCCCAAACTGCTGCTCACTGGATCTTTTAGATACAAGCATCCCATTCAAAGTTCCTCAAATCACTCAAACACACTCACACGCTTACGCTCACTTTGAATTTCTGCAGGTCATTTTGATCATGTCTAAAATGCCTAAATGCATTGAGTAGCTTGCAGTTATATTGGCAGACTAAGATATTTGCATTACCTAGCAGCTGAACAGGTGCAGTGAGTGTACATTATAACAGAGCTGCAAGATGGAAAGGTGTGTGTAGGGTGCTACTGACCATCACAGAAAATCCCCAAAAAGGTTTGTTTGCACGCATACATGGAGCGTCCTATTCTGGAGCATTGTTGCATGGCAGTGAGTGTAGACTCAAAAAAGTAATTTGCCATTAACATAATGTAAGCACTCAGATTCTAGGGGTCAGGGTTACTTTGATTTCTTTTAAGGACACATGGGCTGGACTGAGACAGGCTGTATTTTTCCCTCTGATGTGTGTTTTAAGATGAAATAACCTTTGGAGAAAAATGGAAAAAGTTTGTGTAGTCCATTGAAAGCAACAAAAAGTTGCCAAAATTAGTGAAGCTGCACTGGAATTGGCTCCGGGAAACGATTGTGTCTGAGCATTCATTATTCTGTGCTTCAAAGAGCCTCTGACTGCTCGAGATCATAACAACACTACCTATTCATGTATTACAATAAGTTGCAAAATTGCACACGGCTTGCGTGGCAACAAAATGTTAGTTGGCAATGTTTGCTGAAGTGAATACACATCCACGCATGTAAACATCAGATTGTGAAGTTCTGCAGCTTGCAGAAAAACCACTGGTGTCCAACAAAACCATTACTTTGTGTGTTTAATGTCCAACAAAGGGTTTTTTCTCCCCCAAGCAATGAGGTGACTGCAGGCAGTAAGCCCAGCAGGCCCCTTCTCTACAACCTGATATATCCTGCTTTCTGGATCCTCCCAGGCTTATAAGAAGCACCTCTTCAGCTCCTATATGTAACACAGTTAGATGCGATGTCCCCAAATGCTCTGGGCAGGGTGCAGAGCAAGTTTTCTTACCGATGCAGAGGTGCAGTTACTTCCAAGAGACACGCATTGGCTCGAACACCACTGGCAGCCGTTGGTGTTGGCAGTGCAGCTGTAACAGTCGGTATACTGGTCACATCTCTCAGCATCACCGTCTGCAAAATGTAGAACAGGGTGCACATTATGTTTTTTAATTTATAAGAACAGAGACAGAAATCTTCCAGTCAGTTCAAAAGTCAAAGCAACCAGTAACTCCGTTTCTGCCATTAACCACAGCTCAGTCAAAACATTTGCCGTCTCTTTCGGGGTATCCAGTGTTGACTGCCAGATCGCATCCCTTGTATTTAATGTGCCGGAAAGAGATGCCATGGAGCGGTTTCCATCTGCCAGCACTGCTGTAGAAGCAAGACCGGAAAATAAGACAGCCGTGCCGAGGAGAAAGACTGATGTTTCTGGGTTTTCCTCTTTGTGTGACAACTGACAAACAAACGGAAGACAACTCTCAACAGGAACCAGAGAGAGAAGGCTGGACTGTCCTTCGTGATTACCTCAGTGACACGCACGCTCACATGTAAGAAGTTGTGTGTGGGTGCATCAGTGTCACGAGTGCTAGCGTTGGGGGATGTTTAGAATTAGAAATCAAAATGTAATAAAACCTCAATGCAATTAAAAACCAAACAAACACGTTTGCACATCACACAAAATGTAAACAAAAACAGAATCCAGGATTTTATTTAGTAGAGAAAACAGAAACAGTGTTGAAACTGGGAAAATGTACTACTATATTAGCTAATTTTGAGCAGCAATACATCTTTAAAAAGTTGGGACGGAGGCAAAAAGAAAAGGACTGGTAAAAAGTAAAAGTAAAAAAAGTAAGTGGTCCTAAAATGAAACAGCCGGTGGGACATTTTGCAACTAATTAATTGAATTAGCGCCAGGTCAATTCCTGTTTTTACTGCCAGAGTTTCTCAGAAGGTGGGCAGAGGTTCTCCAATTAGCAAAAAACTGTCAACAACAATCAGAATGTTCTCAACATAAGATGGTGAAGTCCTTGAATATCTCATCATCTACATAGTATGCTTGCACTAGTGCACCAGTGGCCAGTCGTGCTCCTGTATGCATTTCCCCCAGCGGAAATAATATCTCCAGTTCTAGAGAGAGTGAATCGACAGCAGCTCTCTCTGATTCTAGTGGCCCCTTGATGGATGTGGATATAATGAGTCTTTTAGCACCAAGGCCTTGGCAGTTTCATCTCTGAAGGGACCTCCTCTCTGAGGTGGGAGGAGAAGTGGTTCATCCGCGCCCGGATCTGGCGCCTTCATGCTTACCTGCTGAGAGGTCTAATGTGATAGATAAGCAAGCATAGTAGCAACAATCTAGGGCCTCAACCAAACCTTCAAGCAATGGTGCTAGGACCGGCGCAATCCTCCATTCCAGTGGTCTATTCTGGATATTTTGACATTGCTGCAGGAGATTCAGCAATATCTGCTTATCTTATTGGTTTTGATTGGGTGACACCAGTTGCACATCTCCTTGTCATAAGTTTTTGTAAAAGGGTTTGCCGCCTGAGACCCGTGGTTAGGTTCAGCGTCCCTGCATGGGTCTTTGGTGCTGGAGCCCCCTTGTGGACCCCTTTGAACCCACCGAGTCTATGTATACAAAATTTCTTTCATAAGACTGCATTGGTTCTCCCATTGGCTTCTGGAAAGCGAGTAGGTGACCTTCACGCTCTGTCTGTGCATCCCTCCTGCACACAGTTCTCTCCTGATGGCCTCAGGGTCGTATTGTGCCCGAATGCGGCATGTTTACCCAAGGTCATTCCTGCATCTTATAGCTCAATGGAATTTGAGCATCTGAGCTTTTGCTCCTCTTCTTTTGCATCTAAGAAGCAGAAGAGGATGCACGTGTGCTATGTACAAACATTAAGAGCACTCAGAATGTGCTTTTATGAGACCAGTTGTCTGCTTCGCTAATCCGACTACAGGTAGACCCCCTTGTTTAAACAGAGGCTGCCCCACTGGATTATAGAAGCTATCTCACTGGCATACAGCACCAAGGATCCCACTTTGTCCCGCTTCTTTGTGCTGGGTCTACTGCACACTGGTGATGCTGGTGGTCCGACTCCAGTTTGATGGCTGCTCTATGGGGTGCATATATATGTTCCATACTTATGTGTTGCACCTCATTCCTCTCCTTCAGGGAACAGAAGTTATAGGTATAACTGTTTGTTTCTGGATGATGCATGAGGGCCATATTTTCCACATTCCAAAACTTACCACATATACACAAACACGCACAAGCACACACAGAGGAAAACACCCAGGTGACATATTTTTTCGCTCATTTTCCCTCTTTGATGTGAGGAACTGTGTTGGCAGCCCATGACAAACAAGCCGTTTCTGGCAGCGTATGCATCTCATCGGACATCAGTGAAGCGAATGCAGATGAGTTCTGCACACACTGAAGGAAAGCATCGAGAACCCCAAATTATCTTGGATTAGCTTCACGTGTCACGTCCGTGCGGCATTTCAATGCAACTGCAGCGTCACCTACATGATCTCGTGTTGCAGGAGGGCTGCTGCTGCTGTTCAGTGCCGATAACGTCGCTTTCCCAAGGCAGACAGGCCTCCTGGGTGGCGTTCCACACGCAGTGAATTCCTGGCCAGGCCTGGCTGCAGGACGTCGGGCTGGAAAAGGCCGAGCAGCTGGGCGAGGTGTACGTGAGGACATCGCTGAGCAGTAGACTGTTAAAGCCACCGAACACGTACATAACGCTGCAGGAGAACACAAGAAAGGAATTAGAGGACTACAGGTGAAATAGATGTTAGGAGGGAAGGGATTCAGGAAGTAAGACAAGTGAATTTCCTCCTTACTATTTTGCCCAATTTCAACCCTTTTTGCACACTCTAAGTGATCCTCCTCTTCTCTGGGCTTCAACCTGCCTCTTAAGTCTGCTAAATCCCCAACAAGCGCTCTCTTCCTGTGCAGATGGACCTGACAGGACCCCCTACTGTGCGCGTGTTAGAGTGCATTTTGATGATGGGTCCAGGTCGTTTCTGAACATGTTTCTCCACTGGCCTATGTTCAGCTACTGGGATTACTCTGCGAGCGTGGGCCTAAGCGTATGCATGCTCTCAGACTCATCCACCAATTACCCATTCACAGGCTGCCCGGCCGGGTAGATGGGTAATTTGCACAAGTCTGATCAAAAGCCACCCCCACTCCACTGGATCGTGGAGGGCACACTTCAAACTGCACGCTGAGGACATCCTGCTGAGTGCCTAGATCGGGAGGAGGAGAACATGGTAGTCTTGCAGGGGACTACATCAGTTAACCACTTTCTTTTCTTCTCATTTAAAAGATGTGAGTCATTGTAGAGAAAAAGTCTTACGGATAGTGAAAGCGTGTGTTTTCCCTCCCAATCATTTTCTTTCAAAAACATTATGAAAACTGTTTTTTAACAGAGAATTTAAAGAAACTGAGATAGCAAGACACAGTTCAAAGGAAAGACTGTGCCAGGTTTTTTTGGGGGGGCCTGAAAGCAAATGCAGATCCTTTACTTTAAAGTTCAGACCAAAGGATGCTTGGAGAGTTTTGCTGTAGTACTTAAGTTAATGTGGAGCAGGTACATCAGTCTGTCTTCAATATAACAACTCAAACCTGACATTTAGGACTACAGCAGTAGAGCCTGTTTTTTTTTTAACCTTATTACGGCTTCTCGTAAACTTGCTTATCGTCATTTAATACATTTAAAAAAAAATAACGCTCAGTTCAACTGCTGTGAACTTTTGATTGCGCTGAACTCGAACAGTTAATGAATGCATGAACAAACTTTGAACTGCTCCCAAGGAAGTGGAGTCATGAGTAATATAAGGACTGCCCCAAACAGGGGTAGTGATTAATGTTAATATTTAATGTCTTCTATACAACAGGATGTATAATTTAATATGGATCGCAGCGTCTTGCTCTGCTGGCAGAGCAGATCATATTTAGTGATGACTCATCGCTTCTGCTCGCAGCACCATCCCCATCACAATCTATTCATATTGCAGACTGATAATGAAATGTCATGTATGGATCCACACAGCTTTTCCCAAGGCAACAAGGGTTTGATTTTTCCCTGTGATGCATTGTTTGCTCGTTTTCCTTTGCTTCAAGTGTTTCCCCTTTGTCCCCGCTCTGTGCTGCCATAGTGCAAGACCATTTCCTTATGCTACACCATAAATTCAACACAATTTAAGAAGCAACAATAACCCCACGTGTGTTGCAATTGTCCCCTATCAAGCAAAGGACGTGTATTTGAAGGGTTTAAGCCAACAAAGGAACTCTGAGGACTCCCTTTTATCAGAAAGTCTGCTGCCAATACTTGAAAATCTCTTGTTCTGTTCTCAACTCTCACTCTGAATGCCAAAGCATCCATTCATGAATTCAGCTTCTCTTTCTTAACAATCCTTTTTAATCGTTTTTCGACAACAAACGGCAGCTTTCTACGTTTTTGCGTTCCTCATTTCCTCTCTGCTGGCCTCTGCTGATGTTTTGTGGTTGTTCCATCATCCATCTAACAAGTCCACAGCGATCATAAATAAAACAAACAGGAAAGGAATGGAGTGAAGAAGAAAAATCATACAGGAGCTCATGTTTAATGAGATTCATATATGTACTGCAGAGCATTTTCCACTTTTAATCCGGTGAGTTTTCAATTACGTAATTAATTAAAGATTACCCATCACTGAAGATTGCAGAGTGTCCGAAGCGGTTGACATCGTGGTACAGGTCCGGTCGAGGTAAGACTGTCCACTCATCACACGCTGCAATGAAAAGAAGACAGAAGTTAAACCCTTCACCTGCTCCCACTCGTTATAACATACATGTCTTCAGCTGTGGCAAACTCCGCTGACACGCTCTGGGTGGTTAGCGAGGCTCATTTTCTCGTGTCAGACAAGCTAATGGCCAAAGTGACTGAGACACTGATCACAGGTAGAGGAATGCCATAGCTGAATGTAAAGGCAGGTAAAAGATGCAGAAGGGGACAGAGAGTCAGTGATGGTTTTGTTTGACCCACATAAGCAGACGTAAGTGACCAATTTCCAACAGTCTGATGGTTCAAACGAAGTCTGAACTGGTATCCCTGGATTTGACTTGCATGTTTCTAAGCCTGGCCTTTCCATTTTTGGTGGTGGAAACTGCAATAGGGTGTTTTGAACCTGCGACACACTAACAAGTTATTCTGGGTCCTTTCTGCAATTTGCAGGTGGAAGAATTCACAATCTGTTAAACGATTAGGCTCTCAGAAAGCTTCAGATTTTGCATATTCATATGCAGATCTGTCAGTCTGAAGTTACACATATGGATGTTGTTATCCGAACTAGTGCTACCCAACTTGTTTGTCTAGTAACTAATAAAATGAAGCAAAGGAGAAATGTTTCTATTCTTACTGCAACTTACCTACAGTTTGAAATTCAGCCACTGGAAAGCCGCTGTGATGTCATGACCTCTAAATTTCTATATTGGTGTTTAGCAGGTAAATGAATAACTGAATGGTTTGATTCCTTTATGTTTGTTTTAATGGAAAGCAGCAGCAGTATGTGCAGCTATAAAACCTTAATGGAAAAAAAAAAGAAAAAAAGAATGAGCTTGAAAGTCAAAGCCTAAAGAAGCCAGCACAGTGACTGTGGTAAATCACATTCACACGGTACAATGCAGTGCAAGTCATCATAGTCTCCCAGAGGAGATGGATGGACATCTGTGAGAGCTCCACATTCACGAGCAGACAGTGCCCTCTGGTGTCAGAGGATGGCACTGCAGCTGGTGTGGTGCATTGCCCCTCAAGGTGGTTATTTTACAACACGATTTACCAATGTCAGGACAGTGGACAGCTCTTGAATTCTATGCTCTAATTGAGTTCAGCTTGTTAAGGAGAGACAATTAGTTCTCGACGCGGGGCCATCTTGACTCTAATTACCACTGCGGCTGCTGACACCGACCCTACAGCTGGCTGGTGCTGGAGTAATATAGTGAGCTAGTACTTTCAGTCCAATTACAAAATCATAGAGAGGATGAGGAGTGGCAGGCAGAGGTCAGATGTGTGTGTGTGTGTGTGTGTG